GCAGAGACTCCACAGAGCAGCAAAATGCCTCTGTCCAGCCCATAATGACTTCAGTTTTCAAATATTTGCTTAATGTTAATACACTATCAAAAGTATGGTGAGGCAGCATGGTGTAGTGGTTTGAGTGCTGAGTTACAACTCTGGAGACTACGGTTTGATTCCCCGCTCATCAATGAAACCCATTGGGTGACCTAGGACAAGTCACATGCTCTCAGCCTCAGGGGAAGGCAGTGGCAAACCTCTGAACAAATCTTGCCAAGGAAACGGCATGATTTTTGAGAGCCAGCATGGTGTGTAGTAGTTTGAATGTTGAACTATGACTCTGGAAGCTAGGGTTCAAATCCCTCTGAAGCGTAAAAAACCCACTGGGGGACTATGGGCAAGACGCACTCTTTCAGCCTCAGAGGGTGACAGTGGCAAACCCCCTCTGAAGAAACTTACCAAGAAAATCCTATGATAGGTTGTGATAAGTCAAAAATGACTTGGGGACACACAACAACAACAACAACAACAACAACATGGAAATCTTAACAGAAGCATGCACTGGTTTTAACATTGCTGGGTTTTTCAGAGCCACTGCAGTTGAAAAAATGAGCTCTCTGCTTGGGCCTTTTTTCACCCAAATTAAAGGTTAGGGGCTAGCATAAGTGGCCATGTCAAAGGAGGACAAGTATCCAGAAATGCTCAAATGTGAGAGGGAAAAGAGTTCCAGTAAGGTCCTGTTCACCATTACTACTGCTGTAATGGATACAAAGAAGGCCTCTCTTCCTGCATCTTCATTTCCTGTCCAGAGAACGAACAAAACAGAGGAGCAACAAGAGATGTTTGACCTGTGATGTTGTGGCTTGATCCTTCCCCTTCCTGCTGCTCTGGGGCTGTGTGATGACGCAGGTGAAGCGTAAGGAGCCAGGAGGACCAAAGCCTCCTATAAAAAGAAAAAAGAGGGATTGGAGAGCCTACCAGAAACTACCGAGTAGTAGAGGGAATACCTTTTCCTTTGCCTCTAGTTTCCATATCTGTAAGTCATAAAAAAAAAAAAAAGAAAATTAACACTGAAGGACTGGTGGCATTTCACTCTTCTTTGCAGCTGTCATTTCTGCATGATCATTATTTTCTTTTTAGGAACCAGTTCTTTCTCCTTCCAGGATATTCTTAATGTAGAAGCTTATTGCATTGTTAAATAAAGCGACTTACTTGATCTGGCTTAAAATTTAAATCGGGTGGCATCCTGATATTATTACAAGGATTTAGTTGAATTTGCTACCCGAATGCAGCCCGGATTCATCCCTGCTCCCAGGGCCACTCCAGCAGCCATTTTCTCAAGCCAGAAAACTCCTGGTTTTGAAAAGAACTGCACTGAGCGGCCCTGGGAGCGGGGATGAACCTGGGCTGCATTCGGGCAGCAAATTCAGCTAAATCCTTGTAATAATATCAGGATGCCGCCTGATTTAAATTTTAAACCGGATCAAGTAAGTCGCTTTATTTAACAATGCAATAAGCTCATTAGTGTTTGCCTGTTGTGTGCCATGCTCATAACTTTTTGAATCAACCCAGCAATAAAACATGGTAGATTATATGTAGTCTGTTTATGCAAGGGATGGAGAACCTGGGTCCTCCCTAAATGTTGATGGGCTACAACTGTCATAAGCCCCAGCTAGCATGGTCACTCATCATGAATGCTGGGAATTGCAGTCCACTGACACCTAGAGCCATAAGTTTGCAACCTTTGGTCTACACAAGAAAGACAACTTAAAGAAATCTGGACCTAGGTGATTTTAAATAACAATATAAGGAAATCAATAACAATGGCTGCATATGCACTGCAGAAATAATCCAGTTTGACACCATTTTAACTGCCATTGATGTTAGGATTTCTGCGAATTGTTATTTGTTGTAGCACCAGATCTTTCTGATAGAGAAGGCTAAATGTCTCTGAAAACTGTTGTCGTTAGCTGCTCTCAAGTCAAGTTTGACTCATGGCAACCCTGTATATGAGACATCTATCTACAAGCCCCTCAAGCCTCAAAATCCCATAGCACTGAGCTATGTCAGGTGTCAAACTGGATTATTCCTGCAGTGTGGATGGAGCCTACTTTAGAAATATTTAGTATCTTCAACATATAGTCATATCCTCAAAAGATCAGAAGACCATGCTTGCGCAAAGCAAAGATACTTTACAGTTGTTTTGTGCAGCTCTTTCATTTTCTACATCCTTTCTATCAGAGATGAGCAGGAAGTAAATCTGCATCTATTGATGATCAAGAATGTTGGAGTCCCAGCTGTTTTAAAATAATATTAACAAAATGATCCCTCCCCATTATATTGCTGAACTGAAGGCTTTTGGTAACCCAGACTAGGTTAACAAGCCACCTTGTGTATGAAAAAAACTATGCGTTTCTTTCAGTTCTGTTAACTGTACCAAATTTCTGGCCTCAGAATTCTTGAACTCTATTTCTTCTGCATCAGTCTGCAGATCTGGGACTTCTAGTATAAAACAAAGTAGGTCCCACAAGCCTGGAGTCTATCCATCCCTAGACAGATGAGCAAACTGTCAAGTGTGTGTATATATAATCCATAGGGGTGTTTCAGAAGATGCAGAAAGCTAGAACTATCCCTCTGATCATCTTTGTTGGAAAAAGAAATGTGTGTGTTTTTCTTTGGATGATGTTGTTTTTCTTTTTTTTTTCATTTTTAAAAAATTTCCTCAAATACTTGGCTAACCAAGTGGAAAGCAGCTTAACTTGGAACTTCTGTATTGTTCCATAGCTGTGACATCATTTTGTATCTATGTTTTATGTCACAGAGGACCCCAGATGCTTGGCTTAGTCTGTACGTACAATATTGTTTGTTTGTTTGTTTGTTTGTTTACAGTGCTGTTTCCTACATTTGTGGTTTTGTGTGTGTGTGTGTGTGTGTGTGTGTTTGTGTGTGTGTGCACACGCATTTAACAAGAGGGACCTTGGTATCCAACTTTACTTTATCTTTTTGTCTCCCTAACGTAGGGTTCATATCCACTTCTACATTGAACTGAGTTGAGCCTCTCATGCTGAATTCTGTATTCCTAAATTGGTTTGACATGTGTAGACCACATTTCTTTGCATTTCTTTTTCTTTTCCTGATAAGTTTTCGAACTTTCAGTACACATAGCCGCAAGCAATACATTATGACTGTTCAACTTCCAATGAGAGTTTTCAGTTAACTTCTTCACTAACAGAATTTGCTCCGCTGCAAGCCAGCAACCAGGCGGTGTTTGGATGCTGTAGGGAATCAAGTGAAAAAGCTAACGGCTTCCAAAGAACAATGTGTGCTGTGGCTGATAGAAATATGGATTGTGCAGGAGAGGTTCAGTTTTTGGATGAAATTCCCTCACTAGATGGAATGAAAGTTACCTTCCCCCAGAAAAAGAAAAATTACAGTTGTTCACTTGCACAAATTCCTTAAACGTATGCAAATTGAAACTGTTCACCGTCAGACCTCAATTTTTTTAAAGGATGTGGCCCCAGGGGAAATGATTTGAAATGTAATGGATTGGTTGTTTTTGTTCTTTGAATGACAATTTTTTAAAAGAAAAATCTGCTAGTCCATCAATGTCTCTCCATTAGTTCATATGCAGTCTTACCAGAGATATGCTAGCTGAGCATTTATAATGCTAAATCTTGATACAGCCAGATAACTCTTGAGTAGCCTTCCAACTGGCATTCTTCAACTGTGTTGGACTACAGGTCTAATCATCATCCATAGATGATGGGCCAATGATGTCTAAAATCCACAAAACAGTGATATATTGGGCCAACCAAAATGCACAAAATACATGTTGTGAGCTTTCAAAGTTCCACTGGCTTCTTCACCAGGCAAAGATGTTAAAAGGGGAGGAAATTATGATGTTAGTCATAAGCCTGCATTTTGTGGCTATTCTCGGTTCTGGTGTTATTGAAAGGTCATTCATGCAAGCAGGCCCCTCCTCTTTCTGGCCTTGTAGGTAATCCAGGAAATAATTTTTAAGTTCCCTTAGCAAGACAAAAAGAGATGCTCCTCCTGAGATCCAAGTTGCTTCTGTCCTTTGTAAAGCTACATACTACAAGCTGTAGATGACAGGGATTGCAGTCCAAACCACCTGCAGGGTGCCAGGTTGAGGAACACTGTATTAGATTCTTGTTGCTTCAAAGCAAAGGTCACCTTTTGTTTAATATTTTTGTTCAGTTTTGCCTCTCTTCTTTATTCTGTAGCCTGAGTGTACAATTGGTTTTGAACTTATGGACTATACATGTAGTAAGTATTTGTGTCTGACAATTGGTGACTAACTGAATAGGTGTCAAATAGCTCCAAAGACTGGAAAAAGCTTGATTGATTTTGGTCATTAAACTTGAAGCAGGGAGGAGAAAGGGGGATCTAATAATTTAGCTGATGTGGATATTAAACTTTGGCTCTGACACTTTTGGTTAAAGAGCTACCAGTGATATAAAGCCCTCTTTTCTTCTAGTGGGTCTTGATTTTGAGTTCCACCAACGTTTTGCCACTACAAATTAAATCAAGTAGGCTTGGACACAGTTTGGCTTGTGACAAAACTGACACCGATGCTTAATCACAACAAAAACTTAGGAAGAAAGAGGAGAGGTGGAGAAGAGGAGGGAAAAAAGGGTGGGAGATAGCAGTCCTGCCTTCCAGGTCAGACAAGATCATAGCATTTTCTCCACAGCTAGATGCCTAGACCAGGTGCATCTAAGAACAAATGAGAGCCTTCACAAAAGTATATTATGGTTGAAAATAATAATAGCTTAAATCCAGTTGTTAGTCCTAATTAGAAGAGACCCATTTAATCAATGGAACTTATATGTGTGTTGATTTGTTGTTATTGTTGTCTTGTGCCTTCAAGTCATTTTCTGATTTACTAAGGTGAACCTACCATGGATTTTCTTGGCAAGTTTTTTCAGAGGTTTGTCATTTCTATCCTCTGAGGATGAGAGAGTGTGAGTTGCTCAAGGTCATCAAGTGGGTTTACATGGCCAAGCAGGGATTTGAAGCCTGGTCTCCAGAGTTATAGTCCAGTGCTCAAACCACTATACCATGCTAGCTTAGTTGATTTACTAAGTTCTTATTACTTCCAAAGGTCTACTCTAGTTAAGAGTAACAATCAGATTTAGGTCAATATCCACAACACTCATGGGGCACAAAAGGCCACATGGTCATTGTTCCAGAGCAAAATCAAAGGAGGATACACACAATGTACTCATCCTATGGCAGGGGTAGGCAACCTTTCCCCTTTAAGGGCCGAGGGACTTCAGCTCCCAGAAGCCTCAGCCATGTTGGCCAATAGTCCCATGTTGGCCAATAGCTCCTGGGATTCTGGGAGCTGAAGTCCTTAGCCCTTAAAGGGGAAAGGTTGCCTACCTCTGTCCTATGGAGTATATCACATAGGAAAAATTGGAAGTTTAAACGGGTAAGAACCTGCAATTATCCAGCATATTAGGCACAATTGCGCAAATGTTTTTCACACAATGTTGTACGCAAACTACATAGAATCTGACAGGAAAGTGGCATGAACCAGCAAATTGCCACTTTAGGGAAAATATTGTGAATTCATTTCTGTTTCATTCACGATAACGCTTTTTTGCACAATTGCTATGGTGTAAAAGCTATTTGTGGGATTCTCCCCATTTTTTTACTTGTTGCCTACAAATTTTTGTACTTGTTTCTATGGTTCTTGGAGTAAGTTCATTTCCAGGGCTGCTTTGCTGTGCCGAGAAAGATGCAGCCTTTTATACTTCAGCTAGGGCTCTTAAAGGAACAGCTGCTGAGGCAGGCAGGGACACACACACAAAGGAAAAGCTTGCTTCTCCCTCATGCACCTCTCTCTATGTGAATGTCTTTCCTCCACCAGCCTTCCCCATTAGCCGGGCTCTTAAAGGAACAGCTGCTGAGGGAAGGCAGGAATGCAGCGAGAGCGAGAGAGAAGTTTTTTCTAGCTTTCCTACTCCTTTTGGGTAATGTTTTGTTCTTTTTCCTTAGGTT